GAGAGCAGGCTGGTTTCCGCCCAGGACGTAGTTGTATAGACCATATATTCACTTTGCGGCAGGTGCTAGAGCAGCGCTACGCGTACCGCAGACCGACAATAGCTGTGTTCCTCGATTTCAAGAGTGCGTTTGATACAGTCCATCGATCGATTCTGTTCGAAATACTTGCACGGAAAGGTGTTCCCACGAAATATATGAACATCCTAAGTGCTCCATACTCGAACACTACAGGCCGCGTCAGGGTCTACGGTGTCCTGTCGGATAGCTTTTCGACCACAAGTGGCGTTCGTCAGGCTTGTCCGATTTCTCCGTATTTGTTCATTTTCGTCGTTGATTCTATCATGGAGTGTTTCCTTGCGGAATCTCACGATGTAGGCGTTGAAGTGCTGCCTAGTGAAAGGTTAGTTGATCTAGATTATGCGGACGATATCGTCTTGCTTTTCGACGATGTTGTCGCGGCATAACCAACTCTGAATAGCCTGTCCAGAGTGGTCCCTTCAAAGTGCAGTGTTGCTGCAGGGCCACGAGCCACTTGATGATTCCTTGACGCTTGCTAACGAGGAACTCGAGGTGGTTGATCATTTCACTTATCTTAGCAACTGCATCAGCAACGATGGGCGCATAGAAACTGACGTCAGCTCACGCATTGCAAAGGCCAGAGCTGCCTTTTTGAACCTGCGGCATCTTTGGCGACAGAAGGGAGTTTCCCTCCGTCTAAAAGGCCGTGTAAACAAGGCCACAGTGAGAGCCCTTCTGCTCTATGGTAGTGAGACTTGGCCGCTTCGGTCTGAAGATCTAATGCGCCTTCAAGTCTTTGATCATCGTTGTCTGCGCAGCATTGCTGGAGTCGGATGGCACCAGCGTGTTCGCAACGATGATGTGCGTAGGCGAGTACTAGGAAGTGATAATCATGGTTGCTCTCTAGAACAACAGATAGCACTGAATAAGTTGCGTTGGCTCGGGCACGTGCTACGTATGCATGGTCACCGCTTACCTAGGAGGGCCTTGTTTAGTCTGCCAGGTGTAGGGTGGCGCAAGGCTGGAGGTGGACAGAAGTTGACTTGGCAGCGGCAAATGAAGTCACTGACTACCAAACTGTGTGCCGCTGGTCCGTCTCGCCTTCCGGGCTGGAGTCCACGTGACTCGCCTTGTGCTTGGCTCGAGACATTACAGGACATGGCTCGCAGTAGACACCATTGGCGTGTCTGTTGCCGTCTTCTAATCGGATTGTCTGTTTAAAGTGTGTTTGGTGCTGAGTTATCTGCGGGGTAATGGCTGATTATGACGCGGGGCAGTGAAAGCCGCAAGGAAGCTGTCTCGCCGATGCCGCCTTATCTTTGCACGATAGCCAGCTGTTTGCGCCTACACAAGGTGTAGGCGCCTTGACCCTGAATGTTTGCTTAGGGCATTAAGGTTTTCAGGTAAGTCCTCCTCTCCCTCTTCTTATTCTCTATTTCATATGTCCTCTTGGTTGTATGGCAGAGAAGCATCAGTTCAAATGGCTGATGTACTGCTGTTGGTGATGATGATGATGTTTGTAGCACTACATGTATTCAAAATGGGAGAATCCTGTTTGCATGTGGATCATAACGATTCATTAACCTGCCTGTACGGTTCTGTGGATTATTTCACGTGTGGTGCGGAACGCGGCATTCGCAACACTTACTAGGACAGATGTTCGGTTGGTTGATCATGTGCCCATGTGGGATGTTTTGGACAGTTACTTATTATGACTAAGTAGACATGGTGTGCCTCTTAACGCGACCGTAACCTATGCACCGTGGTAGGTTTTTCGGCTGTGTCAACTGTCTCCGGCATCGGATCGTGTGTCATAACTGCTCGTTGAAGGTTTCGGATGACTTGTCTAGACATGAGGACTCGCTCTAGTATTTATTTCATACAGTTGGATATCAGTCATGGCTCGATGGCATAACTCTTTGGTTCGTAAGAGTAAGGTCATGGGTTCGAATCCGGCGGGTGCGCGCTACTGATGAGTCCCAATAAGACACGATGGCGGCTAGAGATTTCCCAGATGTGTAGTGACTGAGTTTAGCTGCGATGAATACCAAATACATGAAGCCTATTAGGATTGTGGCTGAATGTGCGAGTTATATTTAAAGCTCCACCCACCAGAGTTCGGATGAAACCACTGAGGGTAACTATGTTCGCCTACTGTGATGAAGTTAGGAGGAGTGGAGACTCAATACGAAGGGCAATCGCCAGCCGATATTTAGATGAAGAACTCATGAGGGCGCTGCACCCAGGATTAGAGTAGACACATACGTCCGCGCACAATCTAATATGGCTAAATAACAGAGAGATTAAAATCAAAGAGTAATTCCGTGACGTTCCCCCAACGCCTGTTTCAGCCAGTTCCAATCTCCTCACATCGATAACGATGGACCGACTGGGCGCGCAGACTGTTGGCATAGATGCAGTTCGACTTACCTAGACCTCCACTACTAGCATAATCAATAAGAGGGGGCGGAAAATTCATTTTCCCAATCAACTCGGTGCTGCTTTCGGTTGTTGCTTGAGCTGCCTGCTGCTGTTTTCCCCCACTGTCATCATCGGAATTCAGTTTATACGCGTTAACTAGGCTGTTCCACTGTCTCCGTCTTTCGGTTCCGTGGACTGATATGCCCCTGACCGTCCTTTAGAGTGACAGTCGGCGAACCAAATTACAACAGTCGGTTGGCAGCTCGCCGTTAAGTGCGGACCGTTTGATTCAGCTAAATGTTTGGTAACGCATTCACTGCATTGCACTCCGCGACCAGTTTTATACTTGTCTAGACTTTAGCTAGAGATACAAGAGCCCCGGCTCGATTCCGTAACGTAGAGAACGTTTCAAACGAACAAACACTAAATTGTTTGGTATTTAAGCGAATGATGGGAGGCCACATATGCGTTTGGGTCACCGTTAATCGATACGTGACAAATGGTAACGGTTCGGTTTCCCTGAATTTGTCACTCACATTAAGCACGTCCAGCACATACAACCGAGAGCAGCATCACATTGAGGCCGTCTCGGGGAGCTAGTCGTCGCGAACAGCTGAGTCTCGAACATGTGTCTACCTGATGTGTACAAATTAGGTGACTGGGATCTACGTGAATCGCGCTGGATTCGGTACTTAGGGACAAAATGACATCAGTGGAAGACTAGCTGTACCTAACGATGGTGGACTTTGCACACCAACAGCTGGAATTTCATTATCAGACTACCCACAGTGAACCCTGCGCAAATATATGTTGCAGTGAGGAAGAATACGTGAAGTGCATAAACTGTTTATTGTAAAGCGGATGAAGTCAATAAAGTGAAATACAAAGGCGCGAATCCGAGCGATATAAAGAGCTGAACAAGAAAGACTGTTGATGATAAACGGAGCCGCAACGCACCTGAACGTTGTTACTTTTGCGTGTGTCGCACAAGCAGTTTCGGTGGAGTGTACACATCAAGTCGACGCTGACGGCCGACGGGGATAGATTCGCGTACGTGTTTTAGCTCATTGAGATCCAAATCAGCGCAGATGATTTCCTCCTATGGGTGAAGAACCGGAGATCGAGATTCACATGGTCATGTGCACAGTCGTGACTCAGACACCAGGTATCAAAAAAATTATACGAAGAAACTTTTGTGGTTCGGGGTGCATCTTAAGCAAAAGGAAAGTTAGTCGTTGCGTCAAATCGAACACGGCTAGATAATCACATATCAAAGTGTGAAATCTAATCCCTTGCATTGTGGGCCGACATGAAGGCTAAATGGGGCGCAACCGTCAAGCATGCCGATAGCCGGAAGGAATCTTGCAAAGCTGGCCGCTTGTTCTAATGAGTATCTATCGTTGGATAAGTGGACGAATGCACAAGTGAGGCTATCCAACATGGTAGTCATTCCGGCGGGAGGGGGCTGTCTCGCCAGGCGACGATCCAAATGATAAGAGCACACTCGTGAGAAGTGGGCGCGATATGGCAGAAAAACCAGCAATACCAACATCAAGGTGGAAACCACAGCAACGGTCGCAACTTTGTGGGACGGCGTACAAAATCCTCAGTGTGTGCCGTACACACTTCTAGTTAGCTTACCGCGTCATCAAGAGCCTGTTCGCCTCAGCATGCATTAAAAGCACTGAAATCATTAGGTTGATGAGAACGAAACGCTTTGTGCGGAGTGAAAGGCATGACAATTGCGCGAAGCAAGTGCTTACCTCTTTCCCAGCCTTCGAGACAACAACCCCCCAAGGGGATGTGATTAACGACTCGGCGTGACTGATGTAGCCAGATTCCGGATCACAAGCTGGGCTGCACATCCCCACATAGCATTGCGCGTCGAGAGCGCGTGCTTTGGCCAGAAGCTCCCAGTGAATGGGGCCTGATCAAGTCAGGAGAAAAGTGGAATCACGATTCACTGAACCATGGCCATCGATGCCAGACAGCATAGTGAGCATGCAGTAAGAATGAAGATATGTACTCATCGAATAAAACACCAAATAGTGGAAGCAAAAGCAGAATTCACACGGCGCAACGAAGACTATTAACGATGCAGGGCAATGCAATGCGTGCTGAAATGATACGTGTCATGGTTAGGCATTGCAGGGCTGCATTACTATCGTGCAAACATGGTCGAGGAGGAAGATACGGAGCAATAAGAAAACCCAATCAAGAAAACAGCCAACGGAAACCGGAAATACGGTTTGTCAAGAGCGAGGAGCGGCGTACTTCACTGTGATACTCTCGGTACTTTCGAGTAAGGAAAGAATGCCTCGTTTGTTTTTATCGTTAAGAAACACTTCGGTGTATGCATTAAATTTTCATCTAGGATTCCAAATGGCCTGCCTCACTCTCTGTGCACTGTTCTAATCAGTAGGGTATCTATTTCTCTTACGTGATGAAAATTAAAAGTTGTCTTTTGGTACCCAGTGTCGCAACTCAATTTCGCCATATTTGTCACGCTTATAAGCCAATGGGAATGAAGAACGAATCGCGTGACCGTACGCTGTCAGTGTTTAATCTTTTATTGGTCGCGTGCTGCGTTATATCCACGGCGATAGCGTAAAATGCGCTCATATAGATGTACAGAGCTTAGTTTGAGTTGAGTTGATTCGCGACGGATGACACAATAGACGAATATTCCGTTTGCAGTTAACTCATACACGTTAATGATCCAGTTCTTCAGCAAACAACTTTCCTTAACTGACTCCTGACGATGGTTGGTGCTGAGACCGCCTCTGGAAGAGGAAGATGGTCCCAGAGATGAGTCGACTGCAGTGAAGACCGAGCGGACAAAGCTGGTGGCCCCGATTCGGGTTATAACTTGACCGACATCTCGACATCGTCGTGCGTGCAGATAATCTTTCAAGCGCACGCCGGAGTAGACGACTTGAAAACGAACCAGTAGGTATATTTTCAATACAGGAGATCAATTCAGTGAGAGAGAACACTTTAGTGCATCGGTCGAGTACGATGGATGAACTAACTGTCCAATTCTCATCGTTCGTTTTTTATGTGCCACACACCACAATGGTGTGACAGAAGCAATAGCTGAGATTGACAGGAATTTGGAAAATATTTTTTACGACTGGAGAACCGCAGTATCTATGACCACAGTACAGACGAAAAACTGCGGTAGCATTCGAAGGTAGTTAGATGTGTGAATGATCGCGGTGTTCTCAGCAGCAAAAACGATGAAGATATATAAACCGGAAGGGGGCTGCGTATCCTCCTAGCACTAATGCGTCCTTGTGGTTTACTACGGTGCAACAACTTGCACTGATGACAATCTTTATCTGCCATCGATTTCCATGGACTATCTTACTAGGTTTCTATATTTCTCACGGAGGGCACTGGAGTTCATCAAAATAGTTGCACTTGATAATTAGAAAACAGCAATTGTGCGATAAATCGCTTCAGACATCTGCAATTATAAAGAAAATGGTGACATAAATAAGCTTGTAAAGGCATTGGTAAAATAGGACAAATGAACGCAGAGGAAATCACACTTCTGTCCAATTGGTTAGCTAAACATTATGCATATATATCAATGGTTTGCTCAATCAGACGGCGGTACACGCGGAGGCACATGACCAACGCTGGACAATTAATGCTGGAGCAGGTTAATGGCCAGGGCAACATCAAAGCTTGTACCAGAGTTCGATGTTTGCATAGTTTTGATTTCAAAACTGATCGCGATGGCCTCGGCGATGAGTAATGGATGTTTTTTAAGCGTATTTGGGTAACGTATGGAGATGGTATAGATCACTTTAAATGACTCATTCATCCGAGCTTCATGACCAGTTTCAATCAAGTGTTGCAGAATGGAACTACTGATGATCTTCATCGTGCCCTTTCGCAGCGACGCAGGACAGTGCTCAGCAATTCGTTTGGACAAGCACCTGGTCGTACGTCCAAGGTGCCTTGCACCACAGGTGCAAGTGAACTGGTATACTATGAAAGATTCGGACCGGACCGGAAGTTTGTCTTTTAGGTGCTGAGGAATTAAAGGTCTTGTTTCAGCAACTAGTTTTAGCTTAGCAGCTGGATACGCATGGGCCACTGCGGATGAAAGCTTTTTGTTCAACAGTTCGAAGGCAATGTCACCTTTAAAAGGAACAGTAAGGAAGACATCCTTCTTTGGTACAGTGGCAACAGATTTTGCAGAATCAGGTGGAGTGGAATGATTTTTAATGAATTAAATGAGATAACCGTTCTTTTGCAGAGTGCTGAAGATGAACCTTTTTTCACTTTTCATCGTCTCCGGACTGCAGATGGATCTTGCGCGATGGTACAGACAGTGAACTAAAGTTCTCTTATACCTCAAAGGTACACAACACGTTGCTTTGCAGAAAACACTCCTTTCGACTATTCCGTCCTCGCGTCTGCGCAATCGAACGTCTAGGAAAGCCAGACAGCCATCTTGTTCGATCTCGGTAGTAAATTTCAGTGAAGGATGTACTCGGTTAAACTGGTCTAGTAGGCTGGTGCAATCCATGGATGAGTCACAGACAATGAACTAGTCATCCATACAACGGTAGTAAGAATGTCGTGAAGCTATACTGCTACTCAAGTGCGTTCGTTTGAGTTCTACAAGAAAATTGTATGCCAGCAGTGGGCCTAGGGGAGAACCCATTGCGACCCCATCGATCTGTCTGTAATAGGTCACATCAAACAATAATTGTATATTGAATGTGCGCCGTAAGATCAATTCTATCAGTTCCCGTACCGGGATTCCAACACTGATGTTTCTCTCAGTGATGTAGTTACAAATGAAATTCAGTCTCTAACAGAGGCACGTTAGTGAAAAGTGATTCCACGTCAAAAGACAGCATCAGTTTATCGTTCACGTTTGACTTTTCTATTCGTTTAACGAATTCGAATATGTCTGTCACTGTATATAATTCTTTGCGTACAGGTTGGAGCACTTCTGTTAGCCATCTTGCAACAGCGTGATAAGGCGAAGACATGTCCACTATTGGTCTCATAGGAACATGGGTTTCGTGTACTTTTGGCAGTCCATAAAGTCAGGGAGGATGTGAGCCACAACGTGCTGGCTTTGCGAAAAGTGAAATATCCATATGCTTTGACTCTTTCAGTTCCTTCAGTTTGTTGATGATTCTTGCCTCCTCCTGTTTAGTGGTTTCTTGTTGGACTGGATCTTCGAAATTTCCTGTTGTCGTTGAGAATTGCCTTCATTTTGGAAGTGTAATCGGATTTGCCCATCAATACCCAGCCTGACTTTTATCGGGTCGAGAAAAGATCAGTTCTGGGTTCAACATCAGATCTCCGGTTGCGTCATGGTGCTTTTTTGTCGGAGTCATGATACCTATGTGTGAGGTGTAATAACGTGGTCTTGAACGTATCACTTACGAGTGGAGATGGTGTTCTATCCACTAGATGGTGCATTAAATTCCCAAATCGAGTCTCCAGGTTAATTTGCCCACTTTTCGGCTGGGAAAGACAGAATTTTGGCCCGAGTGCCAGCGCTCCGAGAAGAAGTTGCTTCAGCTGCTGGCTAAATACATTGAGCACATATTTATCCGGATTGGCAGGAAACTTTGTTTCTGGTGAACAAGGTTCTTGTCTTTTGAGCAACTTAGCGTATCTTCTTTTGTTTTCTCACATATTCCTCGCAAATAGCATTCGAATGAGTCACGATGGTCATCAGAGACTTCGTCCACCACCGACGAGTAGAGTGAGTACAACCATTCCAGTTCCGGGAGACGAGACTGTATGGCCTCTAGCAGATTGTGAGCGTACCTTTTGAGAGACTTCGTATTTAGTTGAATGTGGATGCTTCGGAGCGATTTCCAATAAATCTTTGGATAATAATTGTGTTCTATGCAGTTTTGGATGAATCGGATCTCAGTCTTCGCATCAGCAAGCAGGGAGTTAAACTTCAAGCATTTGTTGAGGTCTGCAAATTATTCCAATAACTGAAGTTATTTTAATAACAATAACTGGATATTTACTACGGGTATATTGTCTAAGTTTATCCACGGTGATTTCATTTCAGTGGTGCCTTTAGCTTCTGCATTTAAGTAATACACTTAAAGGGCTTCCTACCTGGATTTACAGCCTATCCAAAGAAGGAATATAACCAATGTCCTATAATACATTCGATTTTTCTGTCTACGGTACTGTCCCTACATCTGATGCTTGTGGTCCTTTCTCAACGCGTCTATCCGTAGATGATGCACCTTCAAATACCGGTCAAGCCGATGTAGGTGTTATTTTGAACCCTTGGGTTGCAACTGTTCTGATCAGTAGGATTCCCAGGCACGAAAGTGTGCTATCTGAGTAACTGGCTCGTTAAAAGTTTCGAAGTTACGCAGGAACAATGGGTGTCCGTTTGTCATTGCGGCCTACGCCCCACAAACTATGGCACTGACTCGGTAAAAGATGAATTCCAAAACAAATTTAATGAGCGCCTTCATCACGGAAAAAACAGATACTGTGGTGCTGGCTGGTGATCTGAACGCCCAGTTTGGCAAACTTCTATAGTGAGTTGCATCCAGATGGCCAACACGGCGCATGCTCCAGTGATGGTAAAGGTGGGCGTTCGCAATATCTGTGTAAAGATGCTCATGCATTCCTCACGAGCAGCAATTCTCGACACAGTGCCCACCAGCGTCGAACCATCTATGGACGCAAATCAACCACATCGCGATTAGTTACCGTTGGACGGACTGCGTACAAAACTTTCGTAGGGTTTGGAACACAAGCGTGGACCACGCACCTGTATACATTGATCCCCGGGTACGCTTCCGCGGACACCCGCGACCACGCTGTGAGCACATTGGGGAGACCAGCTGTTCTGAATACCTATCCAAGAGCACTGGCATCCGGGCTGAGCAGGCCTTCATTGAGCACAGTTAACGGACACCACTCACCAGATTGGCGAGGTCTTTAAATCGGCAGTTGCGTATTCACTGAACATCAACTTTGCTTTAACCACTGCGAATATACAAGTTTTGAAGGCATATTCGGACATTTTGTCCGAAGTGCTTCCAAGGTCACCAAGATCATCTTACTCTCAACATTAGGAATACTAAGTCTAGATACCGTACACTATTGGCAATTTTCTCCTTTTGGCCACGAACTTTTAGTCCAGTTTAGACCAATTCTTAAGAAATATCTTTGCAAAACTCTACTCTCTCCGATAAAAATAACCCGATGATTCTGATTACCAATTTGCGCCGAACTTATCCAAACTTGACCCTCCAATAAGTGGTAGTGGTACTTTTCACTGATGCTTTATTGCCAGAGAACCATAACTACTAGGTAAATGAGGAATATTAAGAGAGAAGAACAGGTTCCTGATTCAAAACCTGAATGACCTAAGTAGATATTTCGTCTTTTCGTAACTAATACGGGACGCACGATCCCTTGACTTGCCAAAGGGTTGCATGGTGGAGTATGGTTTCCAACTGCAGGCGGTAGCATGCGACTAAGCATTTAAGTGGTGCAAAATAGAGACGAAGCGATAAATGCTCAATTAGGCTAATAATCAACTAGTCGCAGGATAAACCAGCTAGAACGATCGCATCATTTAATGCCTCACCGAGCTATAGTTTTCGATCATAGAAGTGTTGTATTGGACGCAAGGCTTCAAAATGAAAGACACGAAATAGGGAAAGTACGTCGGATGACTCCGATGAAAATGCGAGGTGAAAACGACAGGATGGAGAAGTCAAAATTGAACATAATAAACCGTCTATAAAATTCACCGTTTTTCGCTTTGGAGAAAAAAATGACGGTCACTAGTAGTGCGATCCCGAGTGGCTTGCAACCTATCTATCACTAGGCAGCAAGTCCGATATTTGGACGATTTTTCAGTCAAACATGCAGCCTAATGTCCGCAAGACAGCACTAGTGTCCATGACGAATGGTATGCAACCTCAATATCAAATAAGACCATTGCATCGAGAACAAAGCCAGATGCATCGCGTGCGGAGTATAGACAGTGGTATCGGAACTTTTGTTTTGGAATCAGGCTCAGTTTCACCGGTCGCGATAGCAAAGATGACAAGGAACCGTACGAGATCCCTGCAAATGTCCTTAGCAACTGGTTTACGCTGTGCCACCAAATGTGAGAACATTGGCACCATCCACCAATGTAAGAGGAAACACGATGGTCGTTGACGTCCCGCGTAGCTCAGTGGTCTCAACCACGGACTGGCGACAGTCGAGTTGCGGGTTCGAGCCCTACCAGGGTCCGATGGAATGCGCACTGCTGACGATTCCCGAAAGGATGAAACGCGCGTACAGTGCTTTTCCGAGCGTGTGACGGCTGTCTGAGTGAGTCTAGATGTGACGAATTTCTACCTATACCATTCAACTCCCCCTACTACTCCTCCGTAAACACGAAATAACAGAAACGGAATGGAGTTGTATAAGGCTACGGAAAATGCTGAGCAACGCTCAAGCAAGCATAACGTCGTACGTGAAATGATTAGCGCCTCCTGGATCAGGTTGTCGAAGGGACGGCACTTTTGCAACGTGCCCCGGGATAACAAGCCTGTTGCTTTGCGCAAGTTAATACAGTCAAACCAGTCTAAGACGACCACTCAAGGGGCCGACAAAAGATGGTCTCCTTGGACTGAAACCATTCGAAGAGAGGCAAGCTTTAAACCAGACAGTTCAATGAGCACAACGCAAGCCATCTCTCGTCGATGGCCAATTATACGCAGATAACATGAGATCAAATTAAGGAGATAGAGCAAACCTGCAGAAATGAGACAGCCGTCATCAACTTTTCAGCCAAAGCGACATCCAACCTGCATATAAATTACGACTGAATTTCTGATGAAATTTCTCAAACAACGCCGTCAATTTGGTAACTGCTGAGTAACCTTAGGGGAGGAGATCGTTAGTAAAGATTAACCGAGAATCAAGACGGACATGCTAATTGGCTCACCTAATTTTGTGTTGAAAGCACCGGGATACAACAGAATCTGGCATCCACGTTGGTGCGCGTATATTAAGGCCAATTCGGGAAATCGGACGTCGTAGCAAATCCCGACACCGACGCGGAGTACTTGCATCCCGCCGGTTGCACCGTCTAAGGGTAATTCAAAGTCGAATATCTCTTTTCCTCCAGAGAGTATGCTCGACTCCTTGAAAGCAAATTGACCTGGATGAAAGGGGGCAACAGTGATTCTGTGAATTGTAAGCTTCTGATAAACAAGAAGTTTGCAAGTATTGAGAACACTGGTAGTTCGGGATGTGAAAGAGCATGGGGGAACGACTCACCACCTTGAGGCAGGCGGCATTCACGAGCAGTCAAACGAAGGGAAAGAAAATGTCTGCTCTTATGATACCGAAAAGCGACTAGGGGGCAGTTACTTCTCGACAGACACTAACGTATCTGAGACGATGGAATCTTAGTAGATGTGCCTCTTACGTGGTAATCGCTTTATACAGAGAGTAACCGAGCAGAGACGAGGTGCCACAGGTGAGAGTTTGCCTCAAAGTATACGAAGTGCCGTTAGCGAACAGATGACCTACCAATGCTTCAGTGTCACTGGGTTTGAATTGGCAGTAGCCCAACAGCTATATCAGGACTGCGCTGACGTTACCCTGCATACCGTCATACATAGATGCACTAAGATCAAACAGGTGAAACTCTTCAGTACCCTATACCAGACTGTGCCAACACTGCGCAGGGAGGGAAATAGCTACGGATGAAATACGCATTAAGTATGCGAGGGGGAGAATTAAACGACCCGAAAGGGAGAACGGATTATCGAAAACATATGGGGCCAGAGTTGGCTACATAACCGCAGCGGCGACAGAGTGAACTGAAAATCGGTGTGATGCTGTTGAAAACGAACTTTTAGCTTGTGCTTATGGAACTGACCAACGAATCAATTTGATGATATCATGCCTGGTGATAGGCTGTGCTCAGCAAATCTCGACGGATAATGGGTCGTAGCACTTGCTGAGCTGAGTTCACGAATACGATTTGATACGAGCGCCTTGTCGTGGCATATGGGTGATCTACTCGGTGACAAATATCCAAAAGAAGGGTACAATCTGTGAGCAGAAGACGGGTGAGATATTCGTCGATGAAGTGAAAACATACGTGCCGCATAAAGAGCTAGTAACTGAATAATGATCTGTCACAGGTAAAAAGCAGTTGCTTGACAAGTCCCGTAGGATGAAATGGGTGAAACTACGGTATTAAAAGATATGTGAGCTGTTTGTTTAGGCGTCTATCGAGCAAATGCGCCGCTGAAAAACAGTTGTGGCAAATGAGAATTGAATGCAAACAACACGACAACATGGGGGCAGTTATGTAGCTGATGTGCTGGGTGAGAAAATCAAGTATAAGAATACTCACTCATGGATCGCCTCCTTACGTCTATGTGACACATAAATCCGGTTTGAACAGATAACTAATATATTCCAAAGTAGCACAGTTTAGGCAACGAAGTGATGGGAGCCAAGAGCAAGCTCCAATCATTTTTTGAAAATATCTAAGGTGGGAGAGGAAACAACTAAGTTTGGGAGGGAATTCCAGGGTTGGCAAACCCGAAGAGAAAAAATAATTCTGTCGGCATTCGGGACGGCTGTATTGTTCGCTCAGTTTCAGACAGTTACTTCTGAGGTTCGTGTTATGGCTGAACTTCAGCAAGTGACGGCATATGCGATTAGGGTCAAATATTTGGTAGACTAATATGAGATCGCCACGCAGCCTTCGGTAGCGGCCACTGAAACCCCCCAGTGACTTCAGCCTTTGCAGGTAGGACAGATTGCGTAGATCCTTGATGTTTTTTGCAAACGTGTTGTGGTGTCTCTAGCATTTCCAGGTCGCGATTCAACCAAGGTTGTCAGGTTTAGATGGCGTATTCAACGTAACGGCACACGTAAGAGATGTGAATCATTGGAAAGATTGATGGGTCAAAGCTCCCGAATGACCTCCGCAACATGCCGGTTGCCAATTTTCGTAGCTGTCTCGGATTGTTTTGAACAAGGTCACTTCGAATGAGTACACCAAGGTCGCGTTCCTGGGAAGCAGTTTGCAATATGTGTGACCCAAGCCAACACACGTAATCATGCCTATGGCGTAATTGAACAGCGCGACATTTGTCTACATTCAATGGTAGGGTATTTTGAACTGACCAGTTCGAAATATTATTGAGGTCGCGCTGGAACTCTTCGTGATCGTCCGGTTCCCTGATCGCTCGCCATATCCTGATATCATCCGTGAAGAATAAGAAATCAGAAGTAATCGCTCTCACTAGATCATTTATAAAAACAAAGAATAGACGTGGTTCTGGCACCGAGCCTTAGAGTACACCGCACTCCACCTCACATGCGTAAATGGTCAAACTGTCTCGTGAAGAGGGACTAAGTCCGCGGAAAGAGGAGTTCATATGAGTTTGAGTGACTGGTATTGCTCAGTTTTCTATCCTACTTCAAAACAACGCTGACTGTGTTCGTGGACCACAGCATTAATCAATTGGTGGCCCTATCACCGATGAGCGGCGTCACACAGAAACATTCGGTTATAGATACTTAGTTTTACAAAGTATTCAGCTCGCAATGGCCGTGCCGCCCATTCGTCCAGAAAGGTCGTCCCTAATGCAGCGTTGTACTCCAGGCTGCATCTGGTTGATAGACTGTTAACACAGCGCCACTAGAATCACAAATGCGTACGGTACCCACGTCGATGACTTGAAACCAACGGGCGCTAGATCTGCGCTCAGAAGTGGAAAGGCGAACTGCTTCAAGTGGTTTTTGATGGACATTAACCCAATCGTGTATAAGAAACATGAAGATGCCAAAGATGTAGTACCCTGCACTACACTTTCTAGAAACGATGTTCATGGCCTGGATCCGGCCGGAGAAGCACTACACTGTCACATACCGCATGCCTAACATGCAACACTTGGTGATACGTATGCTTCAACAAAAGATAGTGAGGAAAACAGTAATAAGGTATCTCTGACTCACTTCACTAGTTCGGCAGAAGCTGTACTAATGGGGTCGCGGTGTAATGTAGCGAGAAAATTCTCTAGTGCGCTTTTCAAATGCAGACAGCGATGCAAAGAGGCTTAATCTACCTGACCAGTGATTCTCTTCATATCGATGAGCACGAGCATGGAAGATAGAGTGCAGATGTGTTGTTGTGTCCGCCCCGGGTGTGTGATGCGAATGTATGCTCAACGCGAACTATGCGAGAGAGAAAGCCAGTTTAGCTTTACCCTTCCGGTGACCAATGAGCCACCGTAAGGTGGTGCAGGTGAGAAGTCAGTAGCAGTAACACTAAAACGATGAGGGCTTCCGCGGAAAGTCAGTATAAGACTCGCAGAAATAGGAAAAATGGTGTGCATCCATCCACGTTGAACTAACCCATCGTTGTATCACAAGTGCTAAACTAAATCGTTAAATCAAATTCGCCACCACCCTTCAAGAACGAATGTATGGGTTATTAAGTCTAGACCTCTTGTCCTGCCACAACAGAGCCTGTTCAAATTAATTTTCCTTAACAGAGGAGGTCGGTATGCCAAACGTGCAAATGAGTTCAAATAATGCAAAAAACGATAGTGTCAAAGTAGGTTAACTCATAAAAACGTTCGGGGAACGTTCGGACAGGCTGGTTTGATAATGAATAAATTGTCCACTACTTCAAGGCATAGCTAGGACCTGTGCCTTGGACTGACTTGGGCTTTCAGTTAACGGGCTCTCGTCACTCAATATCGGCTGTGTTCGACCCCGCGGCTCCCAGTTAGTCGGCACTCCAGTGTGTGTACACTGAGAAAGCGAAGAGCCAACAGAATCACTTTGGTGACCCAACCAAACTAATGGAAACCCCGAAAGCACATTCACTGTTGGGACATCGACTGTCCAATGCAGGCAATTCAAATCGGAATCAGGTCGGTTCACCGAAAGCATTCGCCTCTTTAATCGCCTGTGTAAATGGATCGTGCTTCGTTCCGTGGGTCCCCGGGTCACTGGTTGATTGCGTCCGCGTGTGCCTGAGTATGCACTTCAGAAGAGCAATAGCGGTAAGAACTACGGAACAAGCGAAAAACAAAAAGCAATATTTCATGCCACCCATCGGGCAGAGTTAATTGAATTTTTGACCAGAACAGAGTTCAGCCGCATCAAGTTGTAATTGATTGTGCACTGCAGCCTGAATAGTGTTCAGCCTCTTCCGACGGTCATTAATCGATCACTTGACATCAGCTCGAGTTAAAATTATCCTAACCCGGACATTCACCTCGGAGGCAGAAACCCCGAGGCGAAAGAATGCACCGTGATTTCTGGTGCTATTAACTACGATGGGGCAGTGAAGTCGAATTCACACGTCTATCTAAGGCGAGAACAAGAGGTGCCCGCAGACCTAGGGTACCGACGACTAAAGACCAGCGATATGTGACCTTTGGGTCGAAAGATGATTGAGGAACACGGTCGATAGAACAAGAGAGAGATCAGTTGAAGCCTGGAAGAAAATATACCAGAGTTCCGTTGACAGAAAGTACTCACCAAATGCTTGTTAAGAGAGTGATAATTTCAGGATACTCGTCACTAGCGTGTTTGACAGCCTAACCCACAAATATAAAATGGGAATGTAACTACAAAAACGCATTGGGATCAATGCAAGACTGATCACACGCACCCGCAGATGGTTCCGCATTAAGTGATTGTACGCCTGCAACCTTGGTCATCATCAGACGAGTTTTGTGGGTTTGAATCTTGGCTTGACGAAAATGGCAGCAAAACATTGAGTAACGTTTATATCTTCCTAACACCAGAAACAACCTCCAGTGTTTGTGCTACATAACAATCGAGATGAGCTCATAACACGCGAATTGCCGCCTTCCACAGTTTAATTTTAAGAGGAAGGGGTTATCGACATATTCCGCGCTTTTGATGATGAGGATGTTAAAACCTAATGTTCCCGACCATTAAACATCCGTCGGGGATACAATGCTTAATCGATAGAAATAAGATTATAAAAAGCGGAATTCTACATAAAAAACAGTAGTGCTTGTCGATATCCATCACAAAACTGGTCTTTTGCTTGTATCTGCTACCAAATCGCTAACCCTACTGCACTGATGATGTCATCTATATTGGTGGTGAAAGGTTCACAAAGAGGAAATGGACAGAAAACCCGAGCCACTAGTGTTCCGAATTATCTCAAGCTACCCAACAGCTCGACACAAGTGGTACTAGAAAAGCTTTATCAAGCGTAGCTCAATAGGGCGAATCGCCATGGAAAATGTAATTCAAAACCCACCTTTCACTAATCTCCAAAAATCAGCGAATATGCAAGCTAGCATAATAATGGACATACACACTAAGGCACAGTCAGTTACATAGTCACGCCCCTCCTCCGTGGCTCAGTGGTCATGACTACGGAGTCGTGAGAGTAGGATCGCGGGTTGTAGACCAAAACGGACAGATGGGATATGCACTGAAGACAATCCTCGGATGGATGAAACGGCCGTACATTGGCTATCTGGCTGAGTGGGACTGTGACGAATCCCCATCAAAAATGACTGTAAACACACAGTAACTGATGAACTACCAACACATAAGTACATGATAAACTAAGCAGCGACTCGAGAATCAAGCTCTGTCAGTGCAAGCTAATAAGTTATCACAAGTGCACACATAACTATAACCCGGAAGACAAAAACACAAGCTCCGATGAAGAAACTCATCGACATTCCCACAAAAAGGAAGTACCAGTACACTGTAGGTCAGGTATTGGATTGCGACACGCAATCTCAATCGTAGCATCGGTTGACTTGGAAGTCAGCCTCCGCAAATACGGTCACTGGGACCGACACCGAAGTGGAAGGTTTCGGTATTGCTCTCTCCCATCACTGCACTCCACGACCGATGGTTTCGTCCTGGTTTAGACTCATCAGGTAGAGATAGCCCGCGTCGGTAATAGAACTCCGCACATTGCGGTTGGCGGCAACCGTCATTATCACTAAGATAATGAGCTCCGGGAGCAGTGCTTGACCCAGCGGTTAATAGTTGATTGTCGAGTTTTGGAGCACTTGACAGCGGATTGCGTGTCGCAATACGACACAACTTGGGTGCTTCAAAACCGGTGTCAAGCACTGCTCTCAGGAACAAAATGCCCCAGTGATCATGGCAACAGTTTTTAAGCACTATGTACCGAATTCACCCTACTTGCTGCGTACATGACAGGACGAAACGCGTTGTGACTTGTAGAGATGGGAGAAAGTACAAGCACAATACATCACTCAAAACGTATCCGCTAGATATAAGTCAACTCGAGAGAAACGGATCAGTAATTCACATAAGATGAAACCGCAACAAACATATACACGTATACATGCTATATGAATGCAATTGTTAATACAACAATTTGTGAGAACCCAAACAGTAGAGGTCGAACACAAACACATCCTCGAGGTGAAGAATCATAAACTCACACCCTCCGTAAACGGGATATATTATATATACTCCCGCTATGATTGCACATAACCTACTGAAACGTCTAATCAAAAAAGGAAAAGGAACTGATTCACACGAACAAGTCCCCCCTACAACGCGGTGCGAAGCTGCAGACAGAACAAACGTACTTCCGCCTAAAGCTGATACTACGACGTCGATACAGAATTAATCACCAGGGGGAAACTACAGTAGCACCGATCTCCTGATAGCGATCAGAAACGAAGTCCAAACTGAGATTGCGTCTCACAATTGTTTCACACAATGAAGGCTTTAAACACAACCAATAAAGATAATGGATACTAAACAGAACGCCTTGATGGATGATGAAGTAAGCCTGTACAGCCGATTAACATCAAAAAACCATGCACACACGCATGCATCTAAAGGAAACTCATTCGCACATCGGTTGACGGGATGGCGAAGACTTAAGTCAGTCGCCATCGGTGTCCACTGTGAATGGGTTCTTGGACCCCGTCACCGTCATAACAGATGAGGGTTTGTACGGTCGGCAGCTACTTGTGCAGTTTAGGTTGCGTTAGGCATATCCTAAAGTTTCAGTGGGATCTTTCGAGCACTTCGGAGAGCCGTTTAGGCGCAACATAAAAGATTTTGTGAGTCGGAGGATCGAAGTTGATATCCACTATACAGTAGAGATTGCAGGATAGAAATGTTGATATAACTGATGGTGCGCCGAAGTAAGTAGCATGGTACACAGGAGAAAATCAAGCGAGGACAGGAGGCATCAGCAGTAAGCTAGTACTTCGTACCGATGCTTCGCTGCCACGTGACCACCACCGGTAACGTGTAAGATCACGTGCACCTACACAGATCCGAACCGGGGGTTCATGGATTAGAAAGCAAACGCCATACACCAGTCGGCCACTAGTGCACATCGAGTGGGAACAGGAAAACCATGTCACTCCAATGGTCTATCACAAGATGCGCGCATCTACCACAGAAATAGGTGCAGTACAAGAAGAACTAGTGCTCAGAGGAAACAATGGTGACGGGACAAAGTCGTATACGAAAGAGCAGTCTGAAGGGTTATATAGACGTATGTCATCACAACGAATAACCCTACAGGACTGCTCGGCTTTCTGCAATCTGACTGCGACCTTCTACTGTGACCATTAGCAGTCTTCTGCTATGCGTTCTAACAGGCACATGGTCAGTGTGTCTGCGCCCAAGGTCCGTGTCGAAGCAATGACGGTGAATGGTAGACAAATGGCCTAGTAAAATTCGCCCCTTGTTGTTGTCATTGCTGGTGTTCAATTGATTCCGACTGAGCATATAAGGCCTAATGTCTAAGTGCGTTGGAACCGGCTGTGTCATGACCGACGTAAGGTCGCAAATTTTGCATCTCAATTGTTGGTGACCGCTGAAGCAGCTCCTATTATCAATGTTGGTGTAATTTCGCAATGCAAAACTATGGATGGATCGATTGATCTTTCAATAAAAAAGCTGAAAATAACACTACGAGAGTTCGGACATCAACCGAAGAGCACAGAGAAGCATGGTTTGCAGAAATGAGACACGTAAGAATGAACCTATGCTAACCGGTTAATGTGAGAAGGAAACATGGCACAAGTGGACGCAAAGGAAAATTAAAGAGGTAAATGCGCACGCAATACTCGGTTGCGGATTTCACAGTTGTGTGATTGAGGACAGTCGCCTATGTGTACTTCTACAAGGACCATAGAGTCAGTAACAATTCCGTCTGCATACCCTATACACAGTGTGAAACCCCGAAGAAGTAAAACAGAATAGCATTCACGAACACCAACACGTGGGGGAGAGAGAGTAGGTCGTACCTACCGAATCGAATAAAAAAGCGAGAGACAAGAATAGGGTAATCTGTCAAGAAACGAGGTGACCAGTGTGTAAAGGAAGGTAGCTCATAGAAGACGTTCGGGTACGGCTGTTTGTCGGTAGCCTCAGAGTAGAAGGCCGCGCCAACTCGACTGAAAACTCATTGGCGAGGATTCATCGAATGAGAGTAATTTAGAGCAGGTTTCAGCCAGACAGTCCATTGCCTTGAAACCAGCCAAGGAGAGTGTTTGACTGCTTCCGGTAATTTCAGGTGGAAATGAACTTTCAACTAATTTGTTTCTTTTGAACTATAAAATCACACTCATCTTTGAGAGCGAACAACGCTATGTTTTCAGAGGCTCAATTGAAAGCTTTGGCAAGGTCTTTGTCCCCTGATTTGGGAAGTGTCTGGTCCATGAACCGAATAGCTGTAACGGCTATCCGTGCTGTCAGCAGAAATACAACACGGTGGGAGCAAAGTGTTGATAGGCTTGAAGATAAAAACGCGACTTAATACAAAGATGGAGATCGAGAAGTATGAAGCGTCAACACATTGTTATCACATATGTAAATGCACACCTGCGACATCGAGGTCAAACAGATGAAGCTTCCGGTATGTTCCAACTAGGTTGCCCGCTGGATTGAAAGTTGCGCTACAATTGTACAGTTTACCATCTCGTCCACGCTCCGGAATGGATCCGGCCACAAGCCAGATGTTATGTTTCCTGTAAAAACAACAGGCAGTTATACACACTGCTATCAAGGAAGAAGGAAATGCATAAACGGTCCAGGAGGTAAGAGACAATTCCAAGCGCCAGAATCAGTAGAGATGGAAAGTGCAGTGCGCAATAACGTCGTTGTATTCCGGAAAAGGAAATTGTAGGCCAACAAATGACGAGAATGATTAACAAGAAGGTAAGGAGAACAGCTGGGGAAATGGAAGACGTGAACTGCAAAAAGTATACATAAAGGAAAACGCCGAGGGTGCTGTGGTGCTGATCAAGTATCTCTCCGCAGGAATGACTATTCTCAGGGTATCGAGTGTACACACCGAAATCGGATGTCACCCAAAGAGAGAGAACCGAATTAGTCCATAATGATCGGAAGAACCAGTCATCATCATTACATGTGACCTATAGGTGAGAAACATCACAGTTATTGTACCGCAATGCAAAAACATAAACATACGTAAAAGCGGGATACCAAACATTACAGCACACAAAATAGACCAAGAACAATATAATGCTTCGTATCAGTACGCATCAAGTATGAGAAACTGGTTGCAAGGACAAAATAAGTGGCAGGGGAAAGAAATACACAACACAAACGCCATTGAGGCCAGCTCCCAGCTATGTCAACAAGTGTATCCAGCCAAACGTGTTCATAACCTATGGCTTCCCAAGTAGAAAGCCAAGAGGTTCCAACCGAATGTGTCTTAACACTGCCCTCACCTCCGGCCTCTGCGGTCCAACCCAGCCGGGGACGAAAACCGAATCCAGAAGCCAGTTAGACAGAAGTATATTAGGCACAGAAAATGGTTAATGTTATAGGTCACATGCTCTTACTTTGCCTGTCTGTCACCCAGGTAAATCACATCTCTTGACTGAACAGATTCGACCCTGGTAGCAGCCTTCACTGTCTGAATGTAGGTAGGATCACGTCCGCATCATAGCAACCGGTGCGGCGATGACAGTCTGATTTCGTCAACTACTGGTTTGACCATGGCAACCAGTCTGTCAGCCGCTTACTTGGTCTGGCTAATCTCACTCCGCTAGTGTGCACCATCATAGTCAGTTGTTTAGCGTCCGTGAGAGTATGCTTCACTGAAATCAATCTAGATAGGGTTCACTGACTTCCCTCGGTTCAACTCCTGCAACCATTCCTGCCAAGTCAACAGCAAATTGGTGATGCACCAGGGGCCCTTCATGAAAGCGTGCTGTGCGAGCGTTAAGAAATCTTTGACTCCAGCAGCTGGAGAAGGCCCTTCTTCACAATCTTCGCGAGCACCTTCGCCAAAATATAGGTGAGACAAATCGGCCGGTAATTGTCCACATTGGTTGAGTCACCGCCTTTTGGAACCGGCTTCACTACCGAGCAGTTTCAGTCGCTCGAAAATGCACTCTCGGAAAGCTACCTGTTGAACAGATCCGCCACGGCAGGCGAGATGATGGCCGATAAGGAGTTTAGCATAAGCAGGTGAAGTCTATCAGGTCCGGCAGGTTTCATGCCGTCAAGAGTGGCGAGGAAACTGCGGACATTTACACCGCAATCCAGGTCATCGATTTCAATAGGAGCTGCACACGTCGAGCTCGGCATAGGCCAATGCCCACTTGTAAATGCGGAAGCGAAGTGCGCCGCCAATGCGGACGCATATTCAGTGCTGGAAATCAGACGCTGTCCGTCAGTGCCCTCAAATACAGCTACCTCAATCGCGGGCATCCGGCGTCGCTTCACGTAAGCAAAATTCCTTGGGAGCCGTTTTCGCTGAGGTCGCAACCTCCGCACTTTTGCGCCGTTGCATAGGTCCCACTGCCTTTTTTACGCCCCATAATCGTCGGAAGAGCCAGACACGAGGAAGTTATGCAATCATACGCATCACCATCGAGCGAAATGCCCATACTTTCTGTCGAACCAATGTGGGTTTACTAGTTCAGCTTTCCTATTTTCGGACGGTACGAAACGTGTGACCAACGACTGCACACCCTGCTTTAGAAAAGACCAACAGGCTTTGACTCATAAAAGCTGCGGTATCGACCAGTCCACTTTGCTGGCGCCTCGATTGAGACCTTTGAAGTCCATCTTTCAGTAATTGAAGGATGTCTCCAGCGGACGCGAGTAGGGCAGCGGCGGCGGCTCTAGGCTGGCTAAGACCATCGAGTGGTAGCTAGTTGCCAGAGGCTCCAGGCCTTGAATTTCATATAAATGTAATGCGCAACTAGTTAATAATAGGTCCTAGCACGATGCAATACAATGCAGTGTAACGCGCGTCGGTTGGCAGACGTGTTGTGCTGTCCTAGTCTTAAATATCATCTCCGTAAATTGCGCCTCGATTTCACAGTGCCAGGGAAGAAGTTGGATCTCAGGCCACCGTATTCGAGGGTAGTTTAAATCACCCATACACATGAAGCGGGGCTGACTCATGTAGTTTCTTACATGCGACAACCAATCCAAACATCGACTTCGCGAGCTACGATAAACTGCACCCACAAACAATTCACCCTCTCTTAGGCGGAACGAGTACCATAGTTGCTCGCACAGGCCATTTTCGCTTCGGCATATGTTGACCAGTCTGCCGGATAGCGAAGACCGAATGAATAAGAGCACGCCACCGCTCCCGTTTGACAATCTGTCGCATCGGAAGCGCGAGTAGCCACTGATCTGGAATTCTTGGGTAATGACCTCAGGATTTACCCAGGTTTCGGCCAGTCTCAGTATATCCGAACAACGAGAGGCAGCGTAGTGAATAATAGGCAAGTAAAAGTAACCGGGTTGGAACAGATGCGGAGAGACGCAGTGGAACAAATAAAGGAGTGCAACTGATTCTGCGACCGGACTAAGGTCTCTAACGGCTGACCCCAGGGTCTAGATGGTAAAGTTAGTTTGTACCTGCAGCTTGGCTAAGTCCCTAAACCAACGTCCTCATACATATCTGCTCTGTCAACGGCTGGCCACCATTCATTTTCATCCAATTTGTTGAAGTAACAGTAAATATAACGTACTATGAAGCAAATGATTAATGGGCACATGATAACGGGTTCCAGCTAGGGCACTCTAATGCGATATCAGGTCCCTTTTTTAAAAACCAAATGATTGAAGATCAATTTCGTAATTTACTCAGCGCGAAATGGCAATGTCTCTGATCCCTACAGTAACGCTGGTCCTATTGCAGCGGTAAACACCCTATGAATGTTTGAGCCTCTAAAAAGCCAAACGGGTTTTGTTGGTACGCGAAGTAATCTCCTTAATGATGTGACTACTAAAATTGATACAATTGTCCGGATAAATAAACGCTTAGATCGCTTCGAATGGCTATTCGGTTATTGACAAAATTGGCGGTGCAGCCATTGACTCCTGCAACAGATTTTTGCATTTGTAGAATGCAAAAGACATGTCGAAGTTTGCATCGCTCTTCATCTGCCAATTCAAAACCGCACGTCGAGGTATAGTCCAAGTTAAGGAGCGCATCTGCATGCGGGAGAGCTTCTACTTCAATAGAGACATGGACAAAACAATTTATGGCCACATTGACTAAAAAGATTAAAAGGGAAGATTATATAAGGAAATCGTGACGCGTCTCACTAGTGGTGTTGGACTCAGGAGACACCTATTGGTAGACTATTACAGAACAGGGTGAGTCACGACAGAGTGCACAACAGGCAGGCAACATCATAAGTCGTTAAGATCAATCAAGCCGAAAGGAACTTATAAATCATGGCAAAATGGGAGCCACCTTAGGAGCATTCCTTCTAGTGGAGGGCTTTGGCACTAGTTGGGCGTTCGTAAAGATGGGATCGCCTTTCCCCACTATCTGCCAACTGTACAAAACGACTACGAGCTGTACGGGCACGGGATGCTACGTACCTAGTCAGGGCAGAAAATGTGGGCTCCTGGCCATCAAGTATCAGACGGTCGACGACTTCCGCCCACTTAGGATGCATGGATCTGGACAGTGCTCGCACTATTTCTTTGAGTGTACAGGGAATTCATGTCAGCTGTGTAGTTCATTTCTGTTAGTGGGATGTAACGGTTGTTCATCTTAATTGTCAATTCGAATAGCGCTTCGGCGTTAGTAGGAACTGCTTTCGCTCCGTTCAGTGTCCCCTCTAACGATGAGTAGGTAATGATGTGAGGTTGAGAAAATAAATCACTCGAAATCTTTCAAGCCCTTGTGTAGCCCTCCCTCGGAGGCATCATTACACATTCCCTGATATGCTGTCTTGCACTTCCTTTACAGCAATGTATAAGATATGGGAGACGCTTCTCTTATTTTCGACATAGAACTCAAATTGCTGCACGAATGTTAAGTAATCTGCCGAACGCCCGTCAAGTTGCGTTAGCTGGACAGTGGGGAGCTCTCTTTTTAAAAGGAGTGGTCTTACGACAGATGCCACTGCGACAATCACAGCACATACTTGGTAACCTGGCTCATTATCTGTCTCTACCACTGGGTTCGTCTTAGCAGCAGCTATGAAATCAGCAATGTAAGTATCAATTTGTGGCACATTATCCCCCGACCAGTCAGGAATCGATAATCTATCGTCTAGTTTCTCTTTTAAAGCGATCTCAAGCCCAGCCGTCTCCAGTGCCTGGCTTGCCACGAGAAATTCGCGGTGGTGCCTAAGTTCGAGGTCTTTGGCTTCTAGTTCCAACTCAGCTTTAGTCAGCTTTCGCTTCAACTCCGCTAACAAAACTTGCGAGCGCGCCTTACTACTACTAGCAGGCTTACAGCTAACATGAGTATTGGTGTGGGGAACCACATCAACAGTGACTTGCCTTGATTGTTTGCGTTGAGCGGTTGTGACATCCATTTCTCGCCTATCTGTGTAATTGCAATTGTCGGTGACACAGGCACCCAGTGAACGTTGAGTGAAACGTAGTTGTTGTGATCCAACTTTGTTTTGATTTCGGGATCACTGGCTACGTGTCACTCAACGTTTAATCGATGGAGGTTATAACCTCCATGAAATGCCCGCATATGAGACGCTGCTCGGGGCCAGCCGCAAGTACATTTGGATGACAGGAAAATTAATGGGTGCTTCTCAACCATATCTCACGATACATGATCCCAATCACGATTAAAGGAAGAAATGCAGGAGGAAATCTTGCAAGTTTCAGGGATCGTAACCAAAAAACTTCTTCAAATCTTTTCAAAGGAATTTTTGATGTTCTGGCCGTAGCAGAGGATGATCTACGGCGCCGTAGCTGCTGCATCGAGGAGGGTGGTTAGGAGAAAGATGCTATTGTTCAGAACTTCGCTTTTATATTTACACTCTCCCGCTTTTCTATTATAATCATCCCATTCCCAATGCACTTCAATCCTTCCTGCTTTCAGCCCCTACAATACTTTGCCGTCCTCCTTGCTTCAAGAATCACTGTTCTTCTAGTTTCAATTCACATGCTACCGCAGTACATTGTTCCAGTCCAGTCGACAAATTCATGTCAAAGCATGCGGATAAACTCACTCCATCCGCTTCTATTTGCAACCCTCGATCCTGCTTAAGACTGACATGACTCAATGTGCGCACTTTGTTCAAGATAAGTCAACTGGCAGCACTTGTCTGAACATTATAAAGAGTATCAGTGGTACGCCAATACGCAGTACCGACGTTTCGCTGCCGTGCAACCATAGGCAGGCTCGAATCCGCGCCTTCGGATTACAAAGCAGGCTTGTGATCACTTAAGCGACGGGCTGGCGTTCGAACATAGTATACATTGTATACCCTATCGATTGATATCTGCTGTTTATGGGGAACTTGTCTGCAAGACTTGAGGTTTTGTTCAATCTACGACCATCTCCAAGTGACGCTGGCAATATCCTCCCTCTGTGTCTACCCGGAAATGATGCACCTTCGATTGCGGGTCAAGACGGTGCGGGCATTGCTCTGAGAACCCGGATGGAAGCAGCTCTTGTCGACTGTATCTTAATCACTAGTCTGGTGTGCGCCGTCCAGTTGGCTGACTGGCTCGGACTTCAAAGTCGCGTGGGGCCGATGGGTGTCACTTTGTCATCGCCGCATACGTCACCACAAAGTGCAGTGCCGACTCGGTGAAAAATGAATTCTAGCACGAACTAGACTGGCTTATTCGTCACATGAGAAACACGGACAGTCTGGTGCTGGCTAGTGATTGGTACGCAAAAAAACGGTCAGCTGCATCTGGGAGGCCAACACGGTGCAGTCTCCAGAAATGAAAACGGTGGGCGGCCGTTAGCATTAGCTTCCGACACAATACCCCCTAAAGAGTAGCATGGCGTTTATTAGTATCTGACTAGTCATAGACGCGAATCGATCACATCATGATCAGTTACCGTTGAAGGCTGCGTCCAAAACTGACGCGCGATTTCGAACACTGCGTGGACTCCAAACATGCACCAGTACGCGCTGATCTCCGGGTGCGTTTCCGTGGACGCTCGCGACGGCGCTGTGGGCGAATAGACATTTGTCAAATGGTGAAACCATATGTAATAGCACTTTGAACGCAATCTTGGGGTCCACATTGTGACCAGTTGTCACGAGGTGCTTAGTAATAGATGATGACAGAATCCGGTTCATTCTGGGGGGGCGCTCCAGTTTGTTGCGTCATCGTTTGCTCTACCCACTTTGGCAAGTGTTCAGCCACCCTCTGAGCCAACCGACGGTTAGTCCTGCCTATGTAAACGTCACTGCAACTGCAGGTGGACTGATAGACCACATGCGAGGGCGAACTAGCCGAAGAGTAGCTCTGACGGTCATGAAGAACCATTCTAAATTCAATTCACCTCAACTTATCAGTCTCGTACGAGATGGAGTAACACGGCTCCCTGGCATTTTTGGATATCCTCATTAAGAGGCGGAACGGAGGTACATTGCAGCGCACCGTTTACCGCAAGGCAACCTGGAGTAGGCAGTACCTTCACTTTTCCAGTTTTGCCCCGGTTGCGTACAAACGCGGCCTAGTGAAAACGCTGTTCTACAGGGCCAGACATATTTGTAGTCCGGATACACTGGAAGCCGAAGAGAAGTTCCTGCATAGGACCTTGGTGGCAAATGGTTATCCTGAAAAGTTCATCCAAGTGCACAGCAGACTCCCCAAAAAGAAACTGCCGGTGTTAACGGCAGAGAAAAAAGCTGTTTATCTGTTCCTGACCTTCAAGGGAGACCAGGTGGCAAACGACATCGGACACAAGCTCAGGTCCGCTCTAACGCGCACGTACACGACTGCACAGTTGCGTCTCATACACACGAGTCGAAAACTTGTTCTTCATGACCGTCAGAGCTACTCTTCGGCTAGTTCGCCCTCGCATGTGGTCTATCAGTTCACCTGCAGTTGCAGTGACGTTTACATAGGCAGGACTAACTGTCGGTTGGCTCAGAGGGTGGCTGAACACTTGCCAAAGTGGGTAGAGCAAATGATGACGCAACAAAATGGAGCGCCCCCCAGAATGAACCGGATTCTGTCATCATCTATCAAGAAACCATATGTTCTGAATACGTAGTAAAGTATGCTGGCATGCGAGCTGAGTAAACGCTCGATGAACGCAAATGGAAGTCACCGGTCGCAGGTTCAGCGGACGCTGTCAGCAGCAGACAGTCATTGTGGTAAATCTGATTACCAATCTAGCTACGGTTTTGGATATTCGTCAACACATTCCGACTGAAAGCAAACAAGAGAATCGCGAAGACTTCGGAGCAACACTAGAAACTCGGTGGAATAATTGTGCACCGAACTGGAGACAGCCGCTTCTCTTGGTAGCCATTGTAAGTTATTCCGTCTAATACAGGAAACGGGCGGCAGGAGACCTTATGTTAGCGATACTATATGCGATGAGAGTGAACAGACAATTCACAATCTGTCGAAACACTTAGAGCGCTGAGGTGAGGATGCCGAAAAGTAACTTAATCGATCGGAACTACTAGATCCTCCACCGGCTAGTGATTCCCTTGATTTTTGGGCTATCCCACTGAATCCACTCACTCGCGCGGAAGTCGAACGTGAGATCCACTGCTGAAATTGCTTAAATCCGCGGAAACAGACGATCTGCGTCCAGAAATCGCCAAATTCGAGAGACTTGATCTTGTGGACGATTTACACGTCCGCTTGGAAACACTTGTTGACATGGCGAATAATCGGCCACAATGACATCTGCATTGTGAGCTTCCTTATCCCGCTCCACTTCTTAGCTTCCAACTCCAACCACGATCTCGTCGTCCACGTATAACATAAAACAAAGTATAATAATATTTGTGCTTTGCTTTGGTTGTTTATTCACCTTTTTTGATACTACCTTACTGAATCGTATTGCGACACTATAGCTGGGGCATTTCTCGCAACTCTCTGATGTGTAGAATGATGGTAATGATGGCTACAAAGATGATTTGAGAGCAGGTAGGAGATCAAAGTATGAACAATCAAAATATGGGGGATAAGTCGGTTGCTTCAGACCAGAGAGGAACGGTAATCAAGCAAAAAACGCTGTTATATCGAAGCATTATAACAGACTATAGAAAAAGATTTAATAAACAAAAGAAAGGTTTAAGGTGAAAACACACTTGGATAATTCGGACATAGCTTGACATGTGGGTCCTTCGGGCACGAGTTCCGCATGGGAATCAAAATTTTTCGTCCCGTACGGGCAGTTGAAGCATTCTGGAAGGCATACAAGACGGGCAGCGTGTTGTGATGCGGCGGTTGCTATTAAATCGCCGGCATGAGCCAAGTTAGTGAACTTATCGGAGTCTACTCGCATTTGGAGAAGCGCCAATCGAAGCATAGTTGTGGAGGCTGAAAAAGTCACAAACAATGTAATGGTAATAACAGGACGCGCAACGAATAACTCAAAATCAGGGATCCACTGCGAGTTATAAGTGAGCCAGCGTCATTCGTGGCGACATTAAAAAATTGGATCAATCAATCTACAGAAATCACACTGCGGGATTTCGATATAAAAGCCACAAGTCATCAATGAGGTAAATAAGCGATAGAAATCACTGCGGAGCACCACAAAACGCTAGATTTGCATTGACCTGTGTGAGATTCCACGAGTAAGCGATAAGTTGTAGATGTATGATAAAAGGTATAGCGTTTGGTGACCACAGTTGAATTGCCGATGTCTGAGTTAGTTTAGAATCAGTAGAACTCTGCATCAACGATCAGTATGCAAAATCGGTAACTTTTCATGAGCATTTAAACTCGTTGCAGCCACTGACCTACGCACAGCCTAACCCCGAGGGGGCCATGAGTTACGTGAACGCGCGGTCGTCAATATGGTTGGGCGGTAGCTAAAAGCTGGCACCAAGCAAGCCGTGGTTTGGACTAAATAACCCATCAAGTCAAGTGATATCCATCGAAAAAGTGAAACTTTATGAGTGGCTTAGCAGGATAATCTCATTCACACACCGGTATGTGTGAACATTTGGTGAGCTTGGGTGAAACATTCCAATGCCTATGGATCAACCAATCTACATAGAGAACATTTTACTGAATGGCTCATGAAAGTGAAAAAACGAGTGCAGAACGGTGGTGAAACCTGGTGTGATGTGTGGGGAGGTTGGATCAAATGGCCACGTGTGTAGCAAAACTCACACTATTGTCTGGATTCAATCTTCAAAGTTACAAACTTTGGAATTTCTTATTGAAAAAGTAATACTATAAGGAAGTTGCAAAAAGGGAAGTAAGACTGAATACGAGTGCAAATATAGAGGACCATATGGATTTTGAAGGGCGTAATGTCTGAGGAGCGCAATCTTGGACCTAGTGATAGGAAAAGAAGTAATTAAGGACAAGACTGTGTTGCTGGTTCATAATGACTTGCGATTTAGAATACACGCGATCATAGTGCCCACCGTTTTCGAGTTGCTGGTTCGGATTTTCTCGAATTTGCAGTGTTTACAGATGATGGTGAGATTAGCAAACCACTGACCTTCTTGCTCAAACAGGTATGGTAAAGAGAGGCCACCCGAACCAGTCGCAGTGCCGATATGTGGGGAGGATAGCAGCTCCGTTTGCGCTATCCATACAGTTATTGGATTTACGCTGGTGATAACAAAGTTGTTGGTCTCAATACCCATCCGTCGCCTTACTGAAGAACGAGAGCCCCGGATTATGGAACCGTAAACAGGTTTTCCTTCTGGATGAGGCTGTATAAACCATATGTTCACGCGCCAAGTGCTAAGACAACGCCACAAGTACCGTAGGATGATAATAGTTGTTCCTCGATCTTAAGACTGTTCGACTCAGTCGACCGATCCATTATGTCAAAACTACTCGCCTGGAAAGGCGTTCACATGAAATATGTGATCATACGCGTTTTGCCCTGAAACACCATAGTGATATTCGCCAAGGTTGTCCAAATCCCCCATTTTCGTTCAACACTATAATAAAAGATATCAGCAGTACGTCGTTATACCGTACCGACGCTTCGCTGTCATGCCACCACAAGTCGCGCAAGGGCTAAGGATACTGTGAGGGTCGCTAGGTCCTCTACGGTTTGAAACCGTGACCTCCGAGTTGCAAGACAGACGCCTTGTCCTTACGACCAACGGTCGGCCAACGCTGTCATAGGTACATCATGGAACGTTCCTTTGCGAAACCTCATGATACAAGCGCCGATGTGCTGCCTGGTGGAAAAATAATGGATCTGGATTATGTGGGCAGTGTTGTCTTATGGTCTTACCCAGTGACCCAGTTAACTCTGAATAAACTCTGGAGTGGTCCTACTGCATAACATGGTCTACGTACTTTCAAGGTGCAGTGTTGCTGTTGTAGAATCCCAAACCCCTTCAGTTACGCTGCTTGTTACATTAGAAGCGAAAGGTGCTTGACCGTTGAAAGCAGTTCATGTACTGTGAAAGCTAGAACCGCCTTCTCGAACATGCAAAGTCTGTGGAAATAGAGTTTAGTTAGGTATGAAAGGCAGAGTATACGGAGACACAGTGACGACAGTCCTAACCTATGGAAGTGAGACCTGACCAATTCGGTGCGATATCGTTCTCGCCCAGAAGCGCAGAATTTCCAATGCAGCCGTCGTTCAGCTCTACTGTACGAGTGCGAAAGCTGGCCCATCAGGTACACAGATATTAAGTGGTGTGTTACCTTCGACCGTCGCTGCCTCCGCAGCTAGCCCCATAGCTGGTGGGAACACCGCGTAAACAATGAGCTTGTTCGGAGTCTCGTACTTGGTGGAGAAAGAGCAATTGAAGCACTCAGCACAGTTGTTTGACGCACCAGGCTCCGATGTCTGGGACACCTGTTACACATGCCAATACTCCGACTCTCGCGGAGTTATTTGTTTGCGCGATCGGAATGTGGATGAAAAAAGTGGAGAAGCTAAGCGATAACGTAGTCAAGCGAATTTAAAACTCACACTTAGAATTGGCAATGACTGAAGCCTCCCGACTGCCGGCTGGGATCCCAAGGATGATGAACACGTTTGGTCGGATACACTTGTTGACATGGTGAAGAGCCAACCTCAAGGGCATTTGTGTTGTGAAACTTGTTGTTCCTCCCGCTCACCTTCTCTTACTACGAGCTGGCACCCGAAGCGCAATACGATGCTAAGCAACATATTATTTTCGTGGTTTTTATATTGCAGTCTGTAATGTTTTGTGTCACGTTTTTTCGCACATGTTATGTGTTTGTATTGTAGCACATTAGCTCACCTTTAGTGAATATGTGATTATTATTATTACTGAGTACTGGTTGGAAGTAGCAAGAAGAGACATCACTGCAGCTGCATCTAATATCACTCAGGTACATAGACCCAATATGTTGGAGTGCGCTCGATATATTTTATATCGGCAAAGTGTTTGTCCAGGAATTTCTTAAGTTCCGACACCGACTTTGCCTCAATTACGTGCTGCGGCAGATTGTTGCATACATTCACCAGTCTCCGTAGGAAACGGAGTTGGTGAGTGGCTCGCTTTAAATCCGGCACTACAAGTTTGTACCGGTGTCCCCGTGTGCTGCTTGATGTGCACAGATGCAGCAGCAGCCTCAACATGTGGTATTCACCGAGATGTAATATCCGGTGCGTCATGAGATCAACCCGTAGGGTGTAAAGCCCTAGTTTCTTACGCCGGTTTTCGTACGGCACACCTCGTAAATTGGGAAGCAGCGTAGTGGCCATACGCTGCACTAGCTAAATCTTTTCGATCTTGCCCCGGGTGATAGGATAGTACGTGGGAGCCATACTCTACCATTGGTCGTAGCATTGAGACGAAGAGGCGAGTGGGAATCTCTTCAGACCAAGTGCTGAAGCAACATCTGAGCGCCCAAAGGCCATTTTGGTAAAGCATATTCGTGTTGTCCATGGACTTTAGGTCGCAGAGTGAGAGTACACCGAGGTCACTAATGAAAGTCATGGGATGCAACGGTTGCCCGGCCGCAGTGTATCTTCGACTGTGCTCATACTTACCTTGCCTCATGAATTGGAACTTCACTGGGTTGATCGGAAGGTTAACTTCTGCAGACCACATGGAGAGGCGGTCGAAGTTCTGCTGAAGCAGATCACAGTCACTGGGTGTACGGCTTACTCTCCACACCTTCAGGCCATTTGCAAACAACGCACAAGGTAAACGGAGTAGCTGAGGCCCATTGTCTACATGGATCAGGAACAAAATGGGCCCCAGTACAGTGCCTTGGGGTACGCCATTGCTCGATGGATACCAGTTGGTCAAATGGTTATTGACCCTGACTCTCCACTTTCGGCCAACAAGGAAACTCCTGATCCATCGGTACATCAAGCCTGTCGAGGAGCACTTAATGATTCACCTTGTCAATAGCCCTACTGAAGTCAATGTAAATGAGGTGGACCGACTCACCCCGCTTCAGCGCGTGCAACCACTCGTGCCTCGTCAACAATAGGTTGGTGATGCACGAGCGACCTTCCAAGAAACCATGCTGTGCAGGCGTCAAGAAGCTTCTCGAATCGAGAAGCTGCAAAAGAGCCTTCCTGACGATCATTACAAGCGTCTTTGCCAAAAGAGCGGTCAGGCAGATCGGCCGGTAGTTATACAGTTTGCTTGGAGCACCACCTTTCAGTATTGGCTTTAAGACTGAGCATTTTCAGTCGCCCGGTAATAAAGCAGTGGTTAGTGACCTGTTGAACAGTTCTGCTACAGAGGGCGAGATGATGGCCGATATGGACTTTAGAATCAATGGGTGGATTACATCTGGTTTGGCAACTTTCGTCCCGTAAAGACTTGGCAATAGCTTGCATACATCTTCAATGCTGCATTCCAGACTGTCTAGTTCAGCGGGGGCGGTACCCGTCAAAGTCGGTACAGACACCTGATGGCTTGTAAATACAGAAGCGAAGCGCGTCGCCAAAGCGGACGCACGATTCGTACTCAAGGTTAGGGGTGCCCATCTGAGCCTTCCAACATTGGCACATTGCCTGCAGGCTTCAGGCGCCGCTTCACATAGGCGAAGACTCATGGGAGCAGTTTCTGCGGCGGTTGCAAGCTTCTCTTCGAAGCTTTTGTGCCTTTTGTTTTCGTGTTCTTGCAGAGATTTCCCTGTATCTTGTATGCTTTGTAATCCTACTCAGAGCCAGATAACACAAATTTGTTTCATGGTCTGCGTCTGAGGAGTACAAATGGGGCACACAACGACTTCCCAACCTCTTTAATGATAGTCCAACAGGTTGAAACAGACGAATCCTTTGGTAACGAAAAGTCCATTTGACTCGCTGCTCCAGCGGGGGAGAACATGGCAGCGGCAATTCCAAGCTGGCTATGATTACCGAGAGGTCACCTGATCCCAGGGGCTCCA